CCCCCCCCCCCCCTTATTCCCCTTACCGTTTGCCATCCATTTCCTCTCTCAATGACGAGGAGAATTTTTTAACGTTGAAAAGCTTCTTCTTATCATTGTTTCGTTAATTCTCATCTCTTTAATGTTTGATTCAGCGGCGATACCGTAAGGAGAAATTAGATGCTAGTCACTCTTAGGGGTAAGAGAACTAACAGAGGTTTTCACAGTTAAGTTATTTTTTAGATTTAACTTACCATTTTCTGTGAACGTCTCCGTCTCCAGTACCTGCACCAAGCGTCTTCCCAATGGCGAGATTTTCTTCTCCTTAATTATCAAATAAGTGGCAAAAAAGAGGCTCGAAAGGAAACCGATCATGAGCAAAGGAAGAAAGCCCGATCTCACGAACATTCTGTATGCTGCTATCCTATAACCTAAAAAGTGATATGAAGAAATTAACAGTCGCCGGCTTTACAACTCACCGCGGCGATACTAAGTTCTTCTTAACCGAGCTTGAGGGCCGTACGGAGGAATATCGGCCGATGATGCCTTCTAAGGCAAAACCAGTTCACCGTGCCTACCAACTTGATACCATATTTTCCTTCCATTTAGGGTTGTAAGAATTTAATATACCCATCATAACCGCCTTTGTGGGCTCCTGTGACTGCGGTTATCGGCTTTGTTGCACAAGTATCTAACAAGCTTCTCGCTGAGTCTACAAGAATCGAGCCAGCCCGCTTCGCTCGCCCATGGGGGTCTACCGCTAGGAATCTGACTGGAAATCATAAGAGTGACATGTACAGAAATACCCACCGCAGGCTTCGCAAAAAGCCCACGAGATGCTCATAAAACAGTGCCGATGAGAGCTTTCTCACCGAGCAATTTCTAATCCAAACTTCCAGAGAAACGGAAACAATATCCCGGTCAAATAACTTACTGAGCTGTATCGTGATCTCCGTTGCTTTTTATAGTTTTTCTTAAACATCCGAATATACGCACTTTTTTGAGAGCTAAATCTAGCGACTTGCAATCCTATTTACTTCCCAGTTCCCTAACCTTCCTTGGAGAGTTGAAGTCTCTAGTCTACGTGTATGATGTAGAAAATGACACATGAGTTATTTTTGAAAATAGTTTCTGGTGTCTGTAGCATGTATAAAATAGGCGAAACGAAAAAGAAACATTTGATTACATTACGTTGTGCGTGAAAAATTACCCTTACGTGGAACTTGATCCTCTCAATTTATCGAGAAGCTTGGTGAAATTTAATTTCGTTGTTTACATGTAAAATTCAAGAGCCCTCTTAGAATTTGGTACTCATTGATTAATCAAGAGTCAAAACGTTAATGTCGATAGAGAAAAATAATATCCTTACCTCAATTTTGAGTCAATATCTGGAATAGAAACTTCTTTGGTTAAATGTTAAATAAAGTGTGTTAAGAGATGTGACGTAGCAATCGAACCATGCCCCAAGGAAATGGTTTTCTTTTCGTTTCTGATGCTTAGTTATGTAAATATCATTTCTATTTTGCTAATGATTTTCAAAAGCGCATCCCTCAGCTAAATGAGTCGAGGCCAATTGCGAAATGAATATCGTGAAGGCGTAAAAAAGCGATCGCAGACAATAAAAATGGGCTCTATTAACACATAGAAGTGAGCTTACTATATTTTATAGAATAAAAGTAAAAAGAACATAGGTGACATAAAGGTGTTATTAGTTTTTCGGATTGTTGCATGGAAACCATAATTTTACCGAAAGTATGTACTTTTAAAGGGCAGCCGTTATCGAGGTTATGCTTAACCTTTTCCTCCCAGGAGAAACCAAGAGAGAATTTAAGGTATGAATTAAAACCCCTGAATCTAAACCGCAAATTACAACTCCTGATTTTAAGGTACAGAAACTCATTAAAAATAAAGTTATCAAAAATCTTTAAAGTCTAGGTCAAACCGATTTTGCTGATTGGCTCGACTTATTGCAATTGGAAATTTTGGAACTTGACGATCACGGAATAATCACCATTCAATAAAGTCATTTTACAACTTACTATAGTGACTGTCAATATTACAGTACTCGAATTAGCCGAAGGTTTTTTTGGCGAGAAGTAGATTTTCATACAGTCGTGAGAAAATAGCAAATTTACAACAATTTATATTACATGTAAAACGTAACAAACTCATGATTATTTTTTACTTCAAAATTTAAATAATTTGGAAAATGAAACTTCAACACCCAGCCCAAAATGATCACATGTGGTAAATATAAGGAAAGAGTAAATATCAATCTCATGTATAGAAATGAGAGCTTATCTTTTTTGTTTCCAACAGTGAACGTGAGTGTCGAAGCAGGAAGCGAAAGTTACAGTAAGCACTTTCTTTTAAATCCCCCCCTCCCAACTCCAGCGGGGTTTGTTAACTCCAAGGGCCGGTCGTTATTTATCTCCTAGGTAGCAGGGGAAGGGGGGGAAAAGGGGTTTTGAGGATTTTGGTTGTACTACGACTAAATTAATTTGATCCTCCCCCTTAAGTCTCTGATCTCCATTGGTAGTCAAGGCCCCCCCCCCCTCCCTGCTTCCATAGTCTGTTGGCGACGACTGTCTCCCCTCCACCCCCCACTCCCCTGAAAAGCGTGTGAACCGGCTCCAACTAAAATCCTCCACCCCGCTAAGGCGATAAGTTATGCCACGAGAATATTCTCTTGGTTGTGCCCAGGCCCTAGTGAACTAGACTTCTCGTCTCCTTCCCATTCCCCTATCCCCCCCTCCCAGGCCTTCATGAAAAACGAACAGTTTTTTTTTGCTCATTTATTGACTGCTAGCATAATCCGGATATTTTTAGTTGTTTTCAAATGAACATTACCACAGTAATCACTTGTTTGGTCTCAACGATAGATTATTTTTCAGTTCGGTCCATGGTCGTGGCAAAATAAAAAGAAGCATATTTTAATCATAATTGGAGCCTAGAGGATAGAGGAACAATGAAGTTCTTAAGCTAGCCCCTATAAATAATAATTACTATTACTATTATTGTTATTGGTAGCACCAATATGATTAGTTGTTACTGTTTCAACAGCATTGAAAGCTTTACTTTTCATCAAACATTTCAAACAATTCCTGTGACTGTGACAGCATTTTTTTTTCTCAAAACAGTAGCAAGATTGCATATTTGTCAAGTCAACACATAATCAAATTAGGAATTTATATACATTCTTTGGTTTTGAATTAGTTCAAAACAGTCAGCTCAGTTGTAGGGGTCTATGGTCTAAATTTATCTATTTCTGTGCTTGAATTGACTTCAAAACCTAAAAAACCAAAAAAAAAGATGAATAATGGTTATGATCAGTTAATCAATTGGTTTCAGCATCCACATTGTCATTATTGGCATCATGTCTTTGAATGTAGGCAGCAACATTATAAGTCCTCAACAGTGTGGTACAACTGGAAGCAGTCTTGCATACAGAGTGCTAGTGCTTTACAGACACTCCACTGAAAGCTAGACTCTTTCCCTGGCCTCTTCCTTTTATCTCCTGTCCTTTTTAGGATCTTCTCTTGGGCAGGAAAGCAAACCACACATGCCTGGGTGATGTTGGACTTCTTCCCAGTACCCAGTATTTCTCTTAGAAGTGACCTCAAACTTGAAGACAGGTTAAGCCTTCGGCTGACCTCCTTGGGCAGCCTCTAGGAGTGAGAGAATGAGAGATGCCAGAATTCCTAACAAGCTCCTTCACAAGCTCCCTTCAAAAGGTCCTTTGCAGCACAGGTGACCGGGTTCTTTGCTTGTACAGGATGTAAGCATTCAGGATGCTTAAGGAAAACAGATGGAAGAACACTTTCTTCCACCATTTCATGGTACATTGCCTGAAGCAAGAATAGGCCACCATCTGATCACACCTGTCAACTGCCCTCATGAACTTGTTGTTGTCATGTATAATCTTGGATTTAGTGATTGGGCACCCAGTTCCAGGGTGATTATGGCCAACTTCTACATCCGCAACAGAATGAACTGATGACAGTATCTGGAAAACTCTGTGGTCCTTAAATTTAACTGCCAGCAAAGTTCCATTGTTCATAATACCATGGGGAATACCTTTCCTGTAGCGGGCTGTTCCACAGGCCCCAGTGTTCTGAGCTCAGCAAATAAAGTAGGTGATGTGTAGTAGTTGTCAACATACAAACACCTACCCACATTCAAATAAGGTTGCATGAGCCTCATGACTAAGTCATATGTTTTGCCTTTAGTACTGGGTGGTTCTTGGTTTACATCAGTGGAAATTTCAAACCTACAACAATACCCATTACTTGAGTCACACAACTGGTATGACTTAACACTATACTTATCTGGCTTGTCTGAATTGTACACTTTGAAGTGCACTTTTCCTCTGAATGGAATCATTCCCTCATCTATTCAAATATTTTTCCTGGCTTCTAGACATCTGAAAATTCCCAGTGACAGCACTATATATAGTGCCAAGCTTCTTTACTGGGTTATACCCTTCCTGTCCTCGAGGAACATAGTTATCATTATCGCACAAGTGAAAAAATGTTAAAATGTTCATAAATTTGTCTCTTAACATAATTTGAGGGAAAAAGGGAGTAGATAAAACCTCATCGGTTGACCATTAATCCTGGATATTCTCTTGATTCACCAGGCCCATTGCAATTATCATGGCAAGAAAGCTTTCATCTCACCAGATGTCACACCACCCTCAAGCCAATTTCTAAACCTCGAGTGCCGAGGTAAACGATCTCTTCGCTGTAGAGATGCAACTGTTTCCGTTGCATATTTATATGTTTGAGATACAATCTCATCGAATAGGTTTTCAGAGAAGAGGAGATGAAAGTAGTTAGAGAATGATGGATTGTTAGGAAGCTTCACATTGAACCCTCGATCAGCTGTGAAGTCAAGCCTTCGCGGGATACGATCACCAAGGACCCAGTTGTCTTCTTCGGATTCTTCTTCGCTCTCCTCCTCGTCATCACTGTCTTCTTCTCTTCTGTCACCTTCTTCTACGCTGCTTTCATAATTATCTGTGTTTTCATCAAAATCGCTATCCTCTCCACCGACAACTTCACCGACAGTTCCTTCATCAACAAAGACAATGTTGGCCGCCATCTTTGTTTATCAGTGTTACCGCGCAACATTGAATATATTCATGCTAATTAATTCTTTTATTCTACTCGGATCTTCGGAACTCTGTCGGATGCTTAATTTATGTCCCTTGGGTAGGCCCATGACCGTAAAACTACACAAGCCCGACATATTCCGAACTTATCCGCCAATAAAACGATGACGTTCGGAAACCCGGAATATTTCAAGACCCCTCCACATGGACGAACACGTGCGCCCGGAATATTCCGAGAGCCGCAGAACATAAATGTCGATAGAGGAAAATAATTATCTTACCCCAACCTTGAGTCAGTTTTTTGAATGGTAACTTCTTGGTTAACAAAAATAAAAGTGCCTTGAGAGTTGCGACGTAGCGATCGAACCATGCTCATGTCAATTTATTCCTTCATGTCTCTGATGCTTATATAAATATCATTATTTAAGTTAATATCTTTTAAAAGCGCATCCCTTAGGCCGTTTTCTATGAATTAAAATTCAAACTTGGCGCCGAGGCTTTAGGGAATAAAACAAAGAAAATCACATCGAGGTTTTATTCCATCAAGCCTTGGAGTCACGTTAAAATTAATATGACGGAAATGGTCTACTACTAGCCGGCAAATAGCAAAATGATAATGGCGTAAAGAGTTATCTCAAACGATAAAAATAGATTCTAACAATATTTCAAGGTCAATATGTATGACATGTGGTGTTCTTAGTTTTGCGAATAGTTGCCTACAAACCACAATTTCGTTGAAAGTATGTACGTGTAATTGACATCATTATCATGACCACGCTTAGGGTATTTGTCGAAAAGAAGCTCTGAGTCACGTGTCACAAAGCCAAGGTGTCAAAAATACTTCATGTTTGATTCGCTCGGCTCATTGTCAGTGCAGTTGGAAATTTATCGACAATCTTGACATAGTCACTGTTCAGTAAAGTCATATTACAATTTAATAAAGCTGTTAGTCAAAATTACGGTTCTCGAATTAAACCGAGGTAATTTTGTCGAAATGTAAATTTTCATTAAGTCTTGAGAAACGACAAATTAGTTAAAGAAGATATTAGGTTACCGTAACATTCTTTTGTCGTTTTGCCTCAATATATAATTTTAAAAAATGAAACTTCAACACTCGTCCCAAAATGACCACATCTTGTAAATGCAACGGAAGGAAGATTAACGATCAGGGCTCGCTATCCAAGCGGCTCGCTATCCATCGGTTGGAGATTTATCCAGTGGATAGCGTTATCCACCTTTCGATTAATCTGCTTTTTTTTGGCAAACGACGGTTTGGCGAGAGTCACGAAGGAGAGAGCAAAAGTGACGGATGCACCCGCTCTCCTTCCTTCCCCCCCCCCCCCCACCCCCTTTCTGGTAAATGGAAACGTAAGGATAATGTTACAAAGTAAATATATATTTATTAAAATCATTATATACAATTCAAGCGAGAGTAACTTGTTATTCTCTTGTTATACCTAATCATTTCACGTATTAGAAAGAGCTAAATTGTTGATAGGGTTTTATTATTCAATAAAAACGTGTTTTTCTACTTTCAATCTAATACTCTATCTACACCAAAACGAAAACGACTTCTGAACCTGTTTTGTCCAACACAATTTCAAATGTGTTCTTGACAGAAGCTACTCAGACTGATCTTTGTCGCCTTCAACTTTAGCGCAGTGATTTCTTGAACATTATATAGAAAATTTAGTCTCTCAGTGTTCTATTTTTGATTTTCATCTTCTTAAACCTGGTAAAACTAAATATGGTTTATTCGCTTGATGTGATATGAGTCTTTCACTCCCCGTGAGTCAATTCTCCCGACTATGACTCCACATTTCTTTTCAAGCTACGGTATCCATTCATCCATGAAAATTGGAATTTTATCCTGAAAGGTATCGAAATCCCCGTTGATTATTGTGACAATTCTCATAACTTCTCTGTTGGAATGTGTATGAGAACTGTTGGGAGATTTTACGTAATGAACACTCTTAGGAGAGAAAGAGGTAAGCTATAACCAACTTCAGGATGTTGAAGATATTGAAATGAATAAAAATTTATATTGATAAACTTAAATTTGACTTCAGTCAAAAGATTTTCTGTATTGATGGATTCAGGCACCTATGATAGCCTGAAAATTTTTGAAGCTTAATCTTTTTGCAGTTATTTTTCATGTTGCCCTCAATCCGCAAAAATAGGGTTCCCTTAGGAAAATTACTCCTTTAAAAGTTAATGCTGGACAAATTTATCATCCTCAGTCAAGTTAAAAATTCCACTTGGGAATTAAAGCCACAATTCTTATTTGTTATCTTTGAACGCACTCGAAATATATATTTATGAATTATGTCCAGTACAAGATTCTTCTGTATAAACTCAAGAAGTTTGAAAATTCCTTTCCTCGTTAGTTTTGTTCTGCTTGTTAAAAAAGAAAAATCGCCAATACGCAATGAAAAGAAAAATGCCACAAAATGTTCATGCCCTTAATAGTCTTATACTAAACACCTGATCGGTGTTCGCATTAATCAGTACACGTTCTTTCAGGAGTACGTCAAGTTTCTAGTTAATGCAACTCGCTACATTACAACTGCACGCTCATAAAAAAAATATATTTCTACTTACACACAATTTGTTTCATTTTTCAAGCAGAACTTGAGTAAATTGTTTTTTAATCAGTTTCCTGAGCAAGAGTCCTGATAAAGTCATTTACGCTTGGAGGAATTCAATTGCATCATTGCAAAGTTTTCTTAACAAGTTTCCCGTTTCCAAACATTAAAATATTAGTCTTTAGCCAAGTGGGCATGTAAAACAAGGAAAGAAATGCCTGTTCTTTCAACGACGACGCCTAGAGAACCTTGCCTTATATGGCAAAGAGGGTTCCAAACTACTTCTAGTAAATTAGGCTTTTAAACATATTGGAGGATACATCTAGTATGTCCTTAGTTGACCTCTGAGGCTTTCAAAGTCCACCTGCAAAAATCACCAAAAAAAATTAGGATAGACATGTTGATTGAAAAGTGCCTTACCCTGGGATAATAAATTCGAATGACGATAAACTAACGGCATTTTAGAAATAATATGTAGACACTGAACTGAGGGGGTCTGATCATGTTTACAGTCTACCGTTATAATAGTATAGAGATAGGTAGTATTGTTGTATATTCTTCACACCTCCTTGCAACGGCATTCGGTCGTGTCGTCATAATCGTCGGTTTCCGGGAGTTCCTCGAGAATGTTATAGAAAGGGTCTGGGTTCTGATCACTTATAGCCTCGGTTTGGATTGGCTCGCTATGGATTGGCTTGCAGCGAATTGGCACGGTGTGGACTGGTGCGCGTTTGATTGGCGCTAAACCGAAAAGAAAAGTAATATGAATGGTTAAAAATTGAAGAACCTGCCACGTGGTTTGTGTAAATTAAAAGTTAGGCTTCGTTAATTTTTAGATCGAAATTCACAATCCCTTTTTCCTTAACCCTGTAACTCCCAGAGGTGATGAAATGTGATATATCCATACAAAATCCAGCAAACAGGTAATGAGAAGACTTAAACTTATCAGGTAGAAGATGTTATGCTGATCTAACACCAAGTTCTCGTAAGTAGTTCATAGGGAAAAGTGTTATACCTTAAGGGAGGAATTCACAATTAGATCTTGGGAGTTAAGGGGTCAAATAACCACACACCTTGTTCGTCCACTGTTGCCTATTTTGCGTTGTTTTATCGTAACGAACTTATATTACAAAGTTTCCTTCAAAATGAGGTTGTTAAGTGTTCATTAAATGACTTAAAATATCGTGTAGCTTCTTTTAAAGCCAACTGCTAACTGACAGGTCACTGTATTGTCCAGAACGATCACATGATAAAGTGCAAGCTCTTTAGAACGACTCTATGGCAAGGAATCACTTTGGTACGGTGGCAATTAAGACTTTTGAGGACTCACCGGTAGATGGTCTGTTTTGCCTCGCTAATCCGTGATAACCAACATTTCTTATCACCACTGGCTCTTCATAAATGGATTCCCCCTAACGAGCAAATAATAAGAATTACGTTTGATATTTTCTAATGGAGAAATTTTTGAACTGAACTGAAAGCTGGTCTTAGCCATTCGCGTTTGTTTTAACACTATATTCATGTTTTTATTCCCCGTTCGTAATTAATTGAATTCTGTCTTTATGACACTGTTAACGCCACATTTTTGTCTTTTTTTTATTGAAATAGCGCTGCCTAGGCGAAAAAGACTCCAGAGTCTTGAAGGATATTCGAAGATCTGTACAAGGATCTTTGTTGACCTTTTTGAAAAGATTCGAGGATCATGAGAAACATCTGAATGAAAGGATCTTGGCGATTCGTCTACAATCTTGCGAAGACATGTCCATTCAAGTTGCCCAAAAAATTTCTGAACAAATTCTTTAATCCACTTCAATGCGTTAAGGCTTTGATAATAGCGAATTATTGTAAGTTTCTAAGATTTTTCTCCTTATTGTCACACCTTTGTAGGCAAGGGGGGCAAAGGCCCAAGTCTGGATAATCTTTTTGGTCCTTCAGCGGTTTGTCCACCGATGGAAAGGACCAACCCAGCATCGTAAAACTCGTTATCTGTTGTAGAGAAGAACATATCATTCCTCCAATTTAAATGAGTGAACTCCACAAAGGTAAATGAGCTCTTTCACGATTTGTGCATCTTGAGAAATCAACCATCCTTTTTCCTACTGTTTCTTACTGTTTTATTATGGCCTCTCAAAGTTTTCTCTTTTTATATGGAACTGGTATTTAGAAGTCTTCACTAAGTTAAGAGGATTTCACTTGCACAGTGCAAAGAAACGAAGACTTACGAACAGAAGTGCGAATCGGTCTTATGCCTGCTGGTCTTCTTGGCTCCTGTTAGGAAGGGAAGAAATCACTGTTAGCCTTATTGTTGCAAGAGAAGGGGCAAATGGGCGTGAATTGGACACAAAATGGATAACAAGGATAACAGGGCAACCAGAAAAGCCCTTACGACGGAATCCTTCTGGAATTTGAATAGAAACGTGGTTTGCTCCAAAATACACGATTCTACTCGAGGGAAGTAAAAATGAAAAGCTAAGGATCTAGTTGGCTCTTCTATCTTCGTTTCCAGGGTCTCTCTTCTCCACACTCTCTTGGACCGCCTTAAAGAGAAACCCTGGAAACAAGGTAACCAGTATTTCACAGGTTAGGAGAAGAGAAGTTGACTAATGTGAAAAGGGTGTGTCCGAGGCTAACGAGCATGCTCCAAATTTAAAGATAGTGGTGCTTTCTCTGTAAGGAGCGAGCAGGCCTTGTTAAAACTCGTACCAGGAGAGTGACCGGGTTATTTGTTTTGCTGCGTATGACTTACTAAACTAACTTACTATGATGGAAATCCAAATTCGCTTACCTCATAAGGTGGTGCTGAAAATGAACCAAGAAAACATCATCATAATGTCAAAATAAAATGGACTCTTCTACAAACAATACATTGAACTAAAATGCAACCCAAACTGTTGCAGTAACGTTAATCAAACTTTTCAAGCAAAACGGCTCGATTTTGAATATTAACTGTAATGAATGATTCCGTTTCCGACTTACAACTGGCTAAAATGAATCTGACCGAGTTTAAACTAGAATTTCAGAGTTTGATCTGTGAACGTAACGAAAACATACACACCGAAACAACTCGAACTGAGTGAAATCACATCATGTGATCACGTGATTAATAATCAACAAGTCAATGTCACCTAAGGGGGATCCCCTGAATACCGTACATTGACCATATTCTGTCTTTCTTCCTTCGCCAGTACTCGGTTTGAATCATGGACCGGTCTTTATTTATCGTCTGAGGAGAGGGGTGAGGGAGGGGTGGAGGAGGGGTATGACAGGGGGAACGAAGGGGGGAGGGCAGTCTTTTTTAACAGAAATGATGGAGAGTCAATAGAAAATTAACTGCTCATAAGGGGGGATCAATAGAATACTACAGATCCTTAGGGAGGGGTCAGTTAAATGTTAGTGACACAACCAATATCCTCTGATTCCCTGTCCATAGGCGATGAATAATGATCGGTCCATAGCAAGGTATTCCATAATTTCTGTGTATAGTACCTCATTTCATACACCCTGTTGTAAAAGCTGAATTTCGGCGTAGCTATGTTTTGTGCGAGCGGCAAATTACCTTTCACGTGAGTTGAAACACAATACATTTATTCGGTGTAATGGCAAAATTGAAGGATGAAATAAAAAGCAACGATTATTCAAAATGCACACATCTTGATTTAGCTCCTTAAAGATTATTTTATATATTTGACCATTTTTTTAACATTAATTATCATACATTTCTTACCTTTCGGACGCCTTTGAAGTTTCAACCTGAGAATAAAAAGCAAACAATTGCGAAAAATATTATTGAAGTAGCAAAAAAGCCTCTGTATTACATCTGAGTGATACGAGTTCGCAAGTTGTAGGACAGATTCAAAACTGAAATTATTTTAAAAATTTATGGAAGAATGTGAGGATTACTGACATATTTTGATATTAGAAAATGAAAGGGTTGATTTGAACTCACCACAAAGGCCCTCCTTTTCTCAGCATTACAAAACAAATGAGTCCAATTCCCATCACTACTGACAGGCTCACACCGACTACGATTACACTGTAATTCTTTATTGCTACTCCTCTGTTTTGTCCGGCAAAATTTTCTCCACGACCTCCGTTACTAACACCTCCCTTGAAAAAAATGAAAATACACTTTTGGAATTAAATTTCAATCAAAAAGCAATGTTGTCTATTTAGATTAAATGCTCGATGATTGCCGTAAGTTTCGGTCCATAATATCGCCTTGTGACTGGTCAAGAAAGCCACGCCTCCCTATGTCGACCAATCAGATGCAAAACTTAACTGGTCGTGATTTGTTAATCGCGTTTTTCCGCATTTCCTGTAGCTTGCAAGTTTTTACTTTGATTTGTCATACGACGTGCATTTAGTCGTTTTGCTCATTCTGCCAAAGATCGACCAAGCTCGGTACAGAGTCAAACTCAGCCAAACATTTACCAAACAAGACTACATTTTGTTGTTTTCCCATTCGGTCCTACGAGCGGAAACCTTGTAGTTATCACTAAAGGAAAAGGAACTCATACTGTTTCGACGGTTTTCCCGACAGCCCTCATAATCCGTAAAATCGATTAGTAAACACCTTTAAATGGCGAAGGCACAATTTAGGTACAGTTTGACTCAAAAATCCCAAATTCACTTTATTTTTTGTACAGGCGACAAAACATATTACGTCATTAAAAGCGCGCGCCCGAAATTGAACACTAAAAATGAAACAAAGTCCGTAATTGCACGCGCCAAGTGAGTTCTTTCAAAGTTTTTTTTCTTATCAATTTCAAAATAAATACAGAAAAAGGTTGCAACACATACTGCTCCCAGCGCGGCCTATTTCGCCAAACTGACACCGTGAATTAACAACCTCGTTTCCAGGGCCTTTTCCCTTAGCTGGGGATGGGGCGTAATCCTTTTCCCGCCCCACCCCCAACTCCACCCCCAAGTAAGGGAAAAGGCCCTGGGAACGAGGTTGCATGAATTAAGTACTATTTACCTTTGCTTCATGTGAGCCGTCTGTTGGTTCAACTTTCCCCTCTGTTACCGCCACTTGACTTGGTCCATCTGTGGTAGGTTGACTCGAGGATAATGCTTTTATGAAAAATATAGTGTGTTGCGATGATTATGCGGATTTGAAAAAAAAAGCTTTGTCAGCCTTGGAACCAGAAGGCATATCGCCCTTAGCTTATCCCGGATGTATGAGGTGACAAGTAGTATTGTTACTCCCTCCTGGACCAGTTGCCAGTTCATCACAGGTTATACCACCCTCCCCTCCCCCCTTTCCCCGAATTTCGTCAGGTTTCCCTAACATTCTCCGTACCCATTTCACTCAGCCATTGTACGAACCAGATTATAAAATAATGTATTATTTACATAAAAGCAGTTGCTAATTTTTTTCCATAGTCAGATTTTTCTCGTCGTCAAGAGCCGGATTTATGAACGAATGGACAGATCGCTCGATAAAAATTCCAATCTATCCACATTTTTAGCCTCGTTAACCCTTTAACTCCCAGAAGTGATCAACATGTAATTTCTCCCGATAATATCCATACATTGTCCAGTAAACAGGTAATGAAAATGCTCATACCTATTTCGCAGAATTTTTCTTTTTGATCTAACACCAAATTATCTTAAATAATTCACAGGGAAATATGTAGTGGCTAGACAGGAGAATTGACAATGAGATCATGGTGGTTAAAGACAAAAATACCTTTCAGCCGTTTTTACTCACACAAGTCTACCTTCTAACCGAAAACAAATACTACAGTAATACTCGAAAGCAGCCACATGCAGCCACAGGCAGCCCAATAGATACTACAAGCTTTCTCTCTTAGGCTGCCTCGCTACTGTTTATAATTACTGGTTAGCTGTATTGAGTCGTTTTTAGTAATTATTACTCATCACAGTTGCTATTTCTAGATCCTCCTCATGTCTCTGATATTTGGATTGGTCTTCAAGGCTTTTAAGGGAAAACAGTCTCTTATTTTGATCTTCTAAAGTCTATAAAGCTTTAGGTAAATACCTGCCAGACTATAGTTTCCTTTGGACTTGACCACCAAACATCCATGTGTTATATTTTGTCCAACGCAATAGAAATCAAAGCTCAGTATCAGTCCATAATATTTTCTATCAAGACCTTTATCCCACTGTAGGTAAAAAGAGACATACTTGGTGATTTATGATTAAAAGAAACGAGTATCACGTATGAAAACTTCAGCTTGTGGGGGATACCCTGGTGCATTTGTGGTCACATTCGAATCAGGACTCCAGAGCATCATTCTCAACCAGTACTGTTTGTCATGCTGTACTAGGCCGCTCTGAATTTAATTCTGTCTAAGAAATCCAGAAGTGGTAACCATGCAAATGAAAGTTACTTAAATAACTTAATTTTTCACTCTTTTATTGAGGTACCGTTTTCTTAGCCGTTTGAGACTAGCTTAAGATTTGAACTCAAGTCTGTGGATAAAACCAGGGGCGTGAAATTCTTGCAAATGGGAGCTTCTATACGCAGTTTTTTTCATGCAACATTTGTTCGTGACACCCGATGCTACAGTAAAAACCCACGTATACGAACCATATTTTTTCAAGTTAATCTCCATAAGTTCTTATATCATTGTTGTTTACTGTGAAAATTAGGCTACCAAGGTCCTTAATCAAGTAATTAATTTTTTGTTTAAAAAAAAATTATATTCATGGGTGTGGCTTTTATATTGGTTCATTCACACATTTTGCCCTGAAACGCAGAAGCCAAAGTCAACGAAAGTAACCCTACCATGATGATCATAATTTACATTTTCTGAGTTTTGTGCAGAATAGGAACCTGTTGTGAGATTTTGTCCCAGAATAATTCTTTTTTGAAGGGTGCCTAACTGGGACAATTTAGCCTAACAGGTTCATAAAATTTAGGTTCTTACTTTTTACGGGTTTTTGCTGTATTTTATGTAGGCCTGTCATAATAGTGTGCTGGTATGCGTGTTACCATTCAGTGAAACAAGTAGAACATTTGTTTGCATCCTGTAAGAAGCAGGGGAATTCTAATTACAATATAAGGCGAATAAGGAAGTAAAATTTCTCAATTTACCAGTAAGTTCCACCTGTTACCATTCCTGCCACGCGTTAGTCGAAAGACTGAGTTCGGTCCTTTAATCCATACTGCCGTATCCAGTTGATAATACAAATGTCTGAGTTCAATACCAGGACACTGGAGTGGCCGATCAATCTCAACTTCAAAGGTAATTATTCCTGCCCTACTAAAGTCCTTCACAGGCATCAGTCTTTCTGTTGGTATAGTGGTCAGCTCGCACACTTGATTTAGAAAAGAGAGTGACAAAAGTCCTTAGTTCATATTTTCGTTTTTGGCTTCCTCCAGAGTTTTTTTTTTTTTTAAAGCTCCTGACATTTCAAGTTAAAATGCCTTGACTATTTTTAAAGGTTAACGGTACCTTGAAGGGAGAGTAATGGGATTTTTCACAGTCTGGGATTTTTGCTCTCAGGCAAGGGTCTCGCTTAAATGATTAAAGTAACGATGCAAAAGTTAAATAGTAGTCTCGTGTCTGGAAAGTCTCGGATTTTACCCTTAACCACTCCGAATCTAAACGGCTTGAAGTCATAGTCATAACAAAGATAAAGACAGTCCAAAACAACTGTTTGCCAAGATTTCTGGCTAACAGAGCGTTACATCAATGTAAGACGCTGGATCACAGCCACGCGATGGAATTCCTTATGGAACAACCTAAGAATTATCTAGTTTTTTTTCAACCAGGCAAAAACTGAAACTGTTCACATTTGTTAAGTCGATAGAAATAAGAGAGATGGTAAGTTTTGAGCTCGGTAAAGAAATAGAGAAAGATGTTTTTTCGTCTTGTCTCGAGCGTGGGACAAGAAAAAATTTTGAGTCCCCATGAAGGGACTTTCGCTCACCGCGGAGCACGGAATCCGAAGCTCTGAGGTTCGATTCCTCGTGGGGACTCAGAAATGTTTTCTTTGTCCCACGCTCGTGACAAGACGAAAAAACATCTTTCTCTTTTTGTTGAGTTGTTGTTGTCTCGAGTTTCATTCCCTACTTTTCCTACTTTCTGCTCTATATGTCTAACATCATCCAATTTAATTTCATTTTTGATTTAAAAAAACACGACAATTACAGAGTATTTGCAACAAAAGTGCAGCAAATTTTGCAAAACACAGTAAAACGATGTTATCCTTCCGCTCATTAACGATGTCTTCGGTTTTTAGATTGGCAGCTGAACATACGTTAAGGACTCTAAGAAAACCACGACGGTGACAACAACGAGAAATGAGCGGAGCAAAAGACCTAAGGAGCCAAACAATAGCGCAATATGTGGATTTTAAAACTTTGTAAATTTCTTCGCAGTCCCAAGAGAGAGAAAAAAGGAAATCAGCAACGTCTACGTTCGTCTTAACAAGGGAACCTCAATTAGTCACGTTTTACTTTGAACCCAACACTACATTCACATATGAAGACGAAGGGAAAATGTTGCACCGTCAGAAACTGTTAGCGCATCGAGCTACTAGTGAAATCCATAGGGGGAGAGAAAGTTGTTTTTTATGGCAACACCTTACCACACTTTAGTGACTTCTTAAACTCTTTTATGTTGCTTTTATACGTGGTTCGTCTCTTACTTTAATCCAGCTATATGATAACGACGTGTTTTTCGACGTGTTTTTTTTTTGTTTGTCTTGTGATTGATAGTGGGCGACGCACTGACAACGTCACGTTTAAAACAAGTCAGTGTCAGAAAAAAAAATATTGGTTGAAAAGAAAATGAAAAAAAAAAACAATGAAAAAAAATAATTATCAAACCTTCACGTGTACTAACTTGGAGTACTCCAGAAAACACGTTATACTCTAAACTTGAACAGTTGAACGTCGGAAAGTAAATCGAAACCGCAAAAAAGCGGTGAATGTTTTCTGCGTTTATACCCGTCAAACAAATCGTTGTTTTTCACTAAGAGCGCGCGCTCAAAATTGCATACCCCGCTAATCGTAATATTCAGTATGGCGTCAGCTTCTGAGAGCAACTTTCCTATTTTTCTATTTTTGCAACACGATTTGTTGTGGGAACGGTAATACCCAGACATGGAAGTAAGAAGTTATATATCCTCTGGAAAAGTATGTTTTCCAGTGTATTTGAGAGGAGTAAACAGATTTAAGCTTTATAACATCACTTCACTGTCATAATTAGATGTTACTGTATCAGTGGAACTTACAGATATTGTGTCATATCTGTGTATGCAATTCTTTAGAAAGGTGTGTTCCAAACACCCAAAAAGGGAATAGATATCAAGGAAAAACCTATCAAGACTTCTAGTGAAGGCGAGTGAAGGCGAGTGAAGGCGAATACACCGACGGTTTGAAACGTAATGAATTGTAAAGAAATTAACAAATTGAATTTTAGAAGTAGTAGATTTACGACGTGGTGTGGTCACTCTTTTCAGGTTGAATCGGAATTTGGCCCGTCAGTATTTGTGGCAGGCGGAAAACCACAACTTCCCTAAAGAAACCCTCGAATTAAGGACTGAACTAATAGAAAATTTGGCAGGGGCCATGAGTTAAACCATACAACAGAGGGGAAGGCGAGCGCTAGACACCTCAATATCTCTGCTCCCGTTAGGCTCATGACCGCTTTAAAATCATAGGAAATAGAGTCTTACCAGGGTCCACTCGTTCATTCTCCACACAAGTTCCACTATGGACGATGTAATTCGGAAATCTGAGGCTGCATTTACAAATACAGCAATCTCCAGGTTTACAGCCTGCATTTCCCAAAACTTGTAAACATCCCAGAGGACTGCACGTTGAGATGGGATTGGAAAATGAATCAACGTCACCCATTCCGTTTCGCTTAATAGAGCGAACAACGCTGAACGCCAACCCTTTGCTAAAGAAAAAACCAGCTAATGTTGAAATCACCAATGAAAGCGTGAAGATGATGCTGGAATTGGTATTGTAAAACGCACAGTTCTTCATTTTCCTTCGATGTCGTTTTTCAACGAAAGCAGCTCGTGTGAAGCGACTCGTAATCCAATGTGGTCAATATATGCGCAGTATTGATAACTGTTATTCTCGCTGAGATTTTCCTTGTTTTCACAGAAACAACAACTCGGATTAAACTCATCAATGCCCGGGAGACGTCAGTTTCGTTTCTTCATGAACGATAAACGTTCGTAACCCCACCATCTACAAATTTCTCTTCTGTACTGCGTACGTATCATTCGCAATGCACAATACACATTAAAATGATTATCACGTAACAATACTTTTCTCTAACTCAGAGAGCCACCAATATCGCAGAAATGAAGCTTTGCTAATGTTGTTTTGCAAGTTGCATAGATACAGCTGTCCTATACGAAGGGAAATTATTCAACCTATATCTGCTGTAATATTGTTCAAGTGCATGTTGTGCGCATGATTTCTTTTAATTCTGTGATAATCTGGGTTTTTTTGCAGACATTTTTATTCCAAAGTGAGCCGTGATCCACGAAGCCCTTTCCCTATAATTGCGTACGTGTGAAAGTAGAGTGCTTCAGTGATGTTAGCGAAGGAAGAATTGGGAAAGAATATGTGAGTTTGTTTTTATTTCCTCCAATACTGAACGTGTTGTATTTCAAAGCAAAATATTTACCACTGTCAATTGCCAACAGCACCAACAAGTATTCTTTCTTTTTTGAAGTAAGACAAGCAAAAGGAGTGTGCTTGAGTGGTCGAAATGGAGGGTGGCTTAAGAAGGGTTTTGTTAAATTGGGAAACTTTCAGCCGAACGTGTTTCAAAATAGCTTGCTTGATCACTTCAGCCTTCTTGTTTCAATGATCCTTTTATATTGACTCATTACTTCATTTTAATACACTGTCATGAAACAATTACAGATATTCTAAATCATTACTAAGTAAACTTTAAGTTTCTTTAATTACACCGGCAAAGGAATAAAATTACATATAGACTTGATTAAGCAACAATAATTAGGTTAAAAAACCTAAGAGCGATAATTCTGTTTGTTCTGCGGTAGAGCAATTAAAGCTGATACTACCTCTCAAACGAAGTCAAAAGTCCGTTTTTTTCTGCCAAATTCCATTTTTTCCGTTGATTTATGATGGGCTGTGGTCGCAGTTTTCGAGAAAAAAGATGGTCATAGTTGAAAGGGCAGATAGGTCAGAATAGCTGGTAAAACTTAGATAGAAACATAGCGGTGTTGTAGCTTTGTGTTGGGAGCTCCTTGATCGTGTAAAATCTTTTGTTTTTGTGTTCACACCTTTCAACTGATGAATCGATGCGAAGGCTCTATTGGCCTGTCAGTTCAAAATGATTGAAATTCTGACTGTTGTAGACGGTCCAGTCTGAAAAACCCCAAAAGAAAAAAATATTATGTTTTTTCCATCAGACACTTTTTCAAAAATTTTTACAGACCAAGTAGGTCTTTGTTTACTACTGACGGGAATTACAATTTTGTTTGATTTTGCTTACTTTTATCCAGTCCTGAGATATAGCAGTCGAAAAATACATATATATATATATATATATATATATCGTGATTTTCGCCGATAACAAAGACCTTTAAATCCATACCACATCGTGATTGCTCTTTATTTTTTTACGCCAAATTTTCGTTAAAATAAGTAATAAAGAAAAATGAATGTATATTGAAACATACCTCACAGGAAAAATCCTCATATTTCATCATATTTGCCGAAAATACAAATATCTAACTCCTTCCTATGTCGTGATCTATTCCTTTTTTTTTTTTTGCCAAATGTTCGCATTCGTTGAAAATAGTTCTAGAGTCACATAAATATGCCCATAATATTGTTAATTAACATGTGCATGTTTATAGCACAGCATAGAAAATTCATTTCTTTAACGAGAGTGCTATCGCCGTAAATTGGGTTCAGTGTTTTGTCCAGTGACAGAAAAATTATCACTTTTCCAAGTCTTTAGTCAATCCAAGCCGCGTGAAGCTAACAGTTTCGAGATAGCGATAAAAATATTTTCAAAATGGAACCAATAATACGGTATTTCTGTACTTTAATCCTAAGACGGTATGTTACACGATCAAAATATCGACATTATGAATACCAATGCCATGAGAAAAAGAAGCCTTCAAAATCCAAAATAATCAAAAAATTTCAGGTTCGTTTTCGAATGATTTCTATGGTTTTGTGAAACTGAGTCTACGAACTTGGACTCTAAACTTTCCGTGACATTACAAAACCTACTAAGAGAACATTTTTTGCTGATATAATCGTTGATAAGGATGTTGGCTATTCACGAATCGATCAGCTATTCTCGTTGGCTAATGTTCTCGTGTAAGTGGTTGAGCCAAACAGACATCGCGGCACTAATAACGTTCTCCTATATCACACGCTCCAATTCGTATACAATAAATTTGAGAATGTCGAGACCAAGAAAGGCGAAACTTTTAACAAAGTCTTCCATTTCATGACCAGGTTGAACAAATCTTTTCGACGGAGACATCACGTAAAAAAATTTTAGCTAAATCATAACATGAAAGTTCGCACACATTCAGATGTGGTGCCTAAACTAATCTTTTTAAGAGTTTCATTGTCTGATAAGATCACAACGCAGATAATTTTTTAAGAGTTTCAAGTGAAGAAGGCACCAGAACTAATGAATACGTGTAAATTATTACAACAATTTAAAACCTCTTTTAAGTGATCAGCTTATCAGAGGCACACTTTGTCTTTGGTCAAGTTTTATCTCGTTTATTGATGTGTTCACCCCGTGTAAGTCTACCCAAATCCGCGCGAGAATGGCAAGGGGTGATTATAATATGGCCCTAGAGCACAGAGCTTTAAAATGGCAACTGTTTTCTTGTTGTCTTCGGATAACAAGTAAACTTTACCAATTATACAAAAACCGGGTATCCCCCTCAGGTTCAATAATCATTACTGACTTCCTATCTTGCTTGGTATTTGTAAAATTTCGTTGCACGGTATACTATAATATGCACGGTATACTATAATCTCTCTAACTACTTGGTAATAATAATTTTCATCAAACTCGTGTGGACGCAATTTCGTGAACGCACGTGGTTTCATGAAATGTGCAGACGCAACCTCGCCATTCTCAAGTCTGTAAAACAATTTTTATCAAGGGGTGAGGGATAGGGGAGAGGAAGGAGAGAAGTTACCCTCCCCTTCCTTCCAAGTTAAAATAACCACTTCCGTAATTCATATAACCGCTCACTTGCTTCCCTTCTATGACGCCCACAATGAAAGACTGTTTGTTATTTTTCATTTTCACGCGACGAAAATAGAGCGGAAATCATACCACAGTTTTGACTTGGCAGCCTCTTAAACTTTCGGGCGTTAAAAGGGAGACGAGTGTTTTTTGCCAAAGGATATTGGTTTAGTATCAAAGGAGCGCACGTAAAACCGCAATATCAAACTTCACTACTGAACCCGTTGTTATTGTTTTCGTTAAATACCTGGGAAATCCGACACGCTTTTCCATTTCTCAAAGTAACAGGTTACTCAGGTGAATATGTGAAAATGAGGAAATCGTAGCACACGCATTGCGCGCTGAACCAAACAATTTTGGACTTTTCGTTTCGGCTCAGAAGTACTTTCTCAAAGTTACGTAATCATTAGCAGTACAAACCTGATGAAAATCATTCAGCGGACGAACTACCTAGTTTCTTTGTCGTTTTCAAACAATCGGCACCGCACAGCAGCTCCCTACAGGTCTCGGCAAGAAAAAATGAGGAACGCAAACGGTGATTTTGGAACTTTAAAAACTCTTACTACAAAAGTGCTGAACTTTTCACGTGAAAAGAGGTTTACTTAAATATAATTTCCATGTCTTAGCATCTTCACCTTTGACACTTGTTTAATACAAAGGATTGAATCACTTCAGGAATGGTCATGTTACTTTCACACTACACTAAAATTGAGTAGAGAGTGTCTTTTAGCCAGTCAGAGGCATTTGTTTTCGTTGACATCGTTGACATGTCCAGCTGATATTGGACGGAAACACAAAATAGATTGAGGTACAAGTAGACGATCTCCAAACGCATTTAACACCGCCGATAAGAAGTAACTGTCAATAACTATTACCAAAATAGACAAACCATCACGCGAATATTGGCCTTGAATGTTGTTTACTTTACCCCGTGGAACCTTCGTGTAAAACAATATTGGATGTTCTTATTGATTTTACTATCTGCCTGCAAAATATTTACTTGTAAAATAATCAAGAGAAATGGGTATCTCTCAAGATCCAATTAGTTCTTTTCCCTATTTATTAACATACTTTTCCTTGTAAATGAGACAGAAAAACTTAGTTTCATCTCTAATTAACACCTTCCGGTTAATAACCTTGTCTGTTCTTTTCACCTGTTTCCAACACAGCTCACTGCAGCTGAGACCGCAAAGAGGATTAACTGAAAAGAACATTTCACAGAAGGCTAATATTTTAGCCTGTTACTTAGGAGAAAAGAGACAAGAGGATTGCGAAACTCACAAGTACTAGTGCTAAATTCCGAGCATTTTCTCTCGATATTGAAAAGAAATATTTCAAATTTTTTTGTCCTAAGAATACCCGCCACTCATCAATGTTGGAGCGTGAAAGATAATACACACCCTCAGAAAGTTAAGGATTGCCGAATAATTGCACCAGGGATGTAGAGAGAGAGAGAGAGAGGAGAAACAAAGTGAAAGAGAGCTTATTTTCACAACACCTTTGGCTTTTTTCGTAGTCGGAACGTGAGACATGAAAGACACGCTCGTTAAGACCAGTATTGAAAAACTGCACCGGGCGGGAGGGGAGAAAAGAGAAAGAAGGTTAAACAATGCTCATCTTCCCAAAACTTTTCACAATGATTGTCGTTTGACTTTTCTCTCCTCCTGTTCTCTATATAATGCAAACTCATCATCCTATTAGCTTGCAAGCACTCTAACAGCAGAATTTCTAACAGACATTGAGGCACAAGGGGCGAAGCCGCAAGACCCGGCAAGCGAGGGCAGCGGGCATCGAGAGGAGTTCGTACCAAAGAAGGAGTCAAATCGTACTCACGTAACTCGCTGAAATGGTGAGGTGATCACTAAGAGCAGATATCCTGGGGAACCAGAGGGCTAACAATTTTTACGATTCCAGGTTCCACTCCATCTTAATTGTGCGGGAGTATGACGCAATTTCGCCCTACATTGGATGTCCGTGACGAAGTTGAGAATGTAAAGTTCAA